ATAACACCGCTATATACATATATAAATCCATTGTGCATCCACACCTTGAATACTGTGTGCAGTTCTGGGCACCCCATCTCAGAAAGGACATAGAAGAACTGGGAAAGGTTCAGAAAAGGGCAACAAAGATGATTGAGAGTATGGAATGGCTTCCATTTGAGGCAAAACTAAAAAAATTAGGGCTGTTCAGCTTAGAAAAGAGACGACTAAGGCGGGATATGGCAGAGGTCTATAAAATTATTAATGGTGTGGAAAAAGTGAAAAGAGAAGTGTCATTTACCCTTTCCCACAATACAAAAGCCAGGGGTCACCCGATGAAATTCATAAGAAGCAGGTTTAATACAAACAAGAGGAAGTACTTTTTCACATAACACACAGTTAACCTGTGGAACCCATTACCATGTGTTGTTGAGATGGCCAAAAGTATAACTGGCTTCAAAAAAGAACTAGATAAGTTCATGGAAATAGATCCATCAATGGCTATAGGTCAAGATGGTCAAGGATGCAACCCCAAGCTTGGGAAGAACTTAAATCTCTGACTGCCAGAAGACGGGAGGAGACGGGGGTTATCATTCAACTGCCCTGTTCTGTATACTCTCCCTGAAGCTTTGGTACTGGCCACTGTCATAGGCAGGATACGGGGCTAGATGGACCATTGGTCTGACTCAGTATGGCAATTCTTACGAGAATCTACCATTTCTAGACATTTGGTTTTAAGGTAACGTTTCCAGAGTAAATAAAGCACTGTTCTCTTGTTGAATTTGCACCAAGAGGGCCCGAAGGTCAGCACACTGCCTATGCACCACTTTGATCTTCTAAATATGCCTTAGGTGACACTTAAGTGGGGTGTTGGCCTTTTGCTGGCCCTCTGCACTGGGGTGAAATTCACTCTGAAAGAGTAGCCCAGACTTAGAGAACATCCACTATTTATCTGAAGAGTGCTGTAACTTTAATTATTAAATGCAGACACCAATAACTTAACACCTTTACAGCTAACTGATGTACCAGTCTGTTGTCTGAATGTTCTTATTTAATATTTATATTATAATAGCTCACAGAGATGCCTATCAGGCTTGGTCCTTGCTATGATAGATTCTGTACATATACAGACATAGATCATAAAATTTTTGGAGTGAGGATAGTGTCTAAGAATGGCATATTTTTAGTAAGGGGAATGCTCATTGCTTTCTGTTCTCTCCTCATACAGAATGAGCACCACCTTGTGCAAAGGGCCAGCATGAGACCTATGCGCTATTGAAGTCCTACATATGCCCTAATTTGAGGCCTTGTGTTGCTGGCTCTTTGCCCAGAGAGGAATTTCACCCACATCCTATATTAAACTAATTAATTTGTTTTAACAAGGGCACTATATTCTCTCTCCCTTCCACTCTTTCTGGTTCCCTCAGTCGTGTGACTGTCTGTAAATAAATCTGTGCAGTGCTTCTGCAAGTTTCTTGAGCATTTGATTGTTAAATTCATTGGAATGGATTTCCACAGGAAACATGCTTCTTCCAAAAGCTGCAAAGGCAATTAAATTGCAGAGGGGGAGACCTGGGTTCAGTCTGGGTTTTGTTTCAGAGAATCCATGTTAAAGCAAAACAGTACAATAAAAACTAAATGACAACTGAAGCCAGTGGAACAGTTTGATATCCTCCGGGGGAAGAATCCTACCAAACACTAGCACTGTAACATCAAAGTCTAGAAAAGAGGATTTTAAAAAAACAGTGGGGAAACTAATTAAAAAAACTCTAAAGTCTAAAACTAAACTAAAATCCGTAGACTCAGGATGGATGCCACTAAACATACTATAACAGAGTCACAGAGGACATGCCCACTCCTAAACAACAACAAAAGGAGGAGGAAGGCAAGGAAAAAGCCCACTATGTTTAAGCTATCGATCTATGGTGTTTGTATGACACTTATTACCATAGTATCTGAGCACCTTAGAATCTTCTATGTGTTTTTTCTCACAATATTCCTGTGAGGTAGGGAAGTGTCATTACCCAGGGAGATCAGGTAACTCCAGTGTCTGTCTTTAGGAAATACAGCAAATGCTCGCTCTTTGAAAAAGTCTTTCCACCAAGAAAGTGCTTGATCACAGTCTATAAGAACATATGTAGGGAACAAATATTTGATAATGGGATCTCCAATCTAGCAGACAAAGGTATAATAAGATCTAATGATCGGAAGCTGAAGTTAGAAAAATTCAGACTGGAATAGGGTGTACATTTTTAGCAGTTAGGGTAATGAACCACTGGAACAATTTTGCAAAGGCTGTGGAGGATTCTCCATCACTGGCAATTTTTAAAATTAAGACTGGATGTTTTTAAAAAGTTATGTTTTAGTTCAAAAGGATTTTGGGGGGGGGGAGGGGGAAATTCTAAGGCCTGTGTTACACAGAAGATCAGACTGGATCAGTGGTTCTCAAACTATTGTACTGGTGACCCCTTTCACATAGCAAGCCTCTGAGTGCAACCCCCCTTATAAATTAAAAACACTTGTTTATATATTTAACACCATTATAAATGCTAGAGGCAAAGCGGGGTTTGCGATGGAGGCTGACAGCTATGATCCCCCCCCCCATGTAATAACCTCACAACCCCCTGAGGGGTCCCGACCCTCGGTTTGAGAACCCCTGGACTAGATGATCACAGTTGTCCCTTCTGGCCTTAGAATCTATGAATAAGAATGCTCACAACACCAATCCCCTTATGTACTCTTAATCCCTACCAATCAAAATAAAAAATTCTGTCCCAAGCAGTTTTGACCCCCAAAAGGGAGAAGTGTCAATGACTCCATGAAATCTATCGGGGCTTTGTTATGGCTATTGATTTTACGTGGTAGGCACTTAGTTTTTATACTGCTGCCTATTACCATAGTATCTAAGATTAAAAAGTTCCCCAGTTTAGAGATGGGGATCTGAGGCCCAGAGGTCCAGATCAAAGGTATTTAGGCACTGATCTGCCGCTTTAGGTGCCTAAGTCATGCTGGCACCATAGCATATAGCTGGGTCTAGCGGTGCTGGGGCACAATGCTTCTTGGAGACAGTAAGGCAGATGGGCTCCAGCTACAGCCTTCAAAAGCGGCCAGCCTGTGCTTCTGCCTATATCAATGCAGATCTGCTGGTTGTGGCAAAAGGTGGAGGAAGACATTACATAAGAACATAAGAATGGCCGTACTGGGTCAGACCAAAGGTCCATCTAGCCCAGTATCCTGTCTACCGACAGTGGCCAATGCCAGGTGCCCCAGAGGGAGCGAACCTAACAGGTAATGATCAAGTGATCTCTCTCCTGCCATCCATCTCCACCCTCTGACAAACAGAGGCTAGGGACACCATTCCTTACCCATCATGGCTAATAGCCATTAATGGACTTAACCTCCATGAATTTATCCAGTTCTCTTTTAAATAAGAGAGTTTAACCAAATAAGTTTTTTTCATGTTTATAAGTAAAATACATGGCGACAGTTGAAGATCATCAATGACAAAAAGCCTGTTGACTTTACTAGGGGCAGGATTTCACCCCAGGTAGACATTTAACTATTTCAAACATAGATTGATTTAATTTTTCATGCAGTGATGCCAGGTGAATCTTTCTCATCGCATTACTCACTATAGATAACATTGTATTTGATGTACATTATATATGCATTGTTTTACTTGTCTTCCTATACAATATCTTTTATATTTGACTGCCATTTCAATAACAAAATATAATAACTTACCACGACATTCTTTTTCTACTTCTTTTCCCTCATTATGTTTTTTGTTCTCTCTCTGTCTCTCTATTTCAATGTAGTACAATGTTTGTTTTCCCTCTGGTTAACTTTTCCTTCCTTCTACTTACGTAAATTTCTCTCTTCTTTCATCCCTTTTCTGTTCTTCATAAAGAGGAACCCCCTTGTGCATACACTGAATGAGGCAGGGGGTCTTGTGGAAATAGTAATGTGTGATTAAAGTGTGTATCATGGTGCTTACACGCAAGGAAGATGAATTCAAGTTGGACAGGCAACCTGACTTCTGGTATTTCCTAACTTTTACAAGCTTGACTTTGCACCTTTAACATTCTTTTAACATAGATTTTTGTATGTAGTTTCCTATACTCTTAAAAGCCCAAACAAACAAACAACAATAACAAAACTATCATGTGGAACAATACTGACCCTCCTATTTGTCATTAGCAGGGTTGTAACCTTTAGGGCCACAGCATAGAACTCTAAAATATGAACTAATGGAATAACTGGTAGCAGTAATAGGTTGTTATCTTCTATGTGAACCAGCCACTAGATGGGATCAGACACGCACTTTGCCAGTGGGTTTTACAGCTATTTGCTAGACAGCAATGGAATGATGACGTAAGGAAATCCTGGGTTCTAGTCAGAGGTTTATAACTCAGCCAGATTTAGGCAGATTTTCATAGGAAGGGCAAAAGGCACAACCCCAAAACCAGTGTGAATCTATTCCAAATATCAAGTCCTTGAACCAAAGCATGGAGGTGCTAGCCCATCTAGGAGAAAAGGATGTAAGAATATTTTTCACAGGGGTAAAATGTTGCTTAAATGGGTAAACCAATTTAGCTGAAACTTTCCAAAAAACTCAGCCTGAATCATTAAAGTTTGGCAAAGTTATAAGCAGCTGAAACCAGAGTCGTATAAGGAAAGTGTCAGATAGAGTTAATAAAAGGCAGTGCTACCAGCCCCACCAGTGATAAATAATTTTTTTCTTTTAATATTATGTATCCACAAGGTTTAGTAGTCATGATGGCAGCAGCAGAGACGACTGTCCCAGAC